AGGGGTGTTTTCAGCAAAAAACGAATAATCCTTGAGTGCACACAATACACTTAATTTTAGAACAAATGTTGCATTAGTTACAGCAGCAGAATACCACAGAAATATCAGACGAAACATGAAAACACTATATATTGTATTTTGGCCTGAACCCTCTCTATTGCAATTCCAGGGATTACCCCCATATGTGCAACCATTTTCCACCTTTGTATCACCCAACTCTGAAAACAAATTCTCAATACCACGCTGAAGCGTTTGGTAATAACGTTATTAGACGGTAAATTTGCTCGCAAATCTTGTGATAACGATTAAATTTACAATAATTTGATGCCCACAGCCAGTTAATAAATTTCTGTCATTTTATATGTATCATTTTAGTGGGCAAACTACGATTATAAAATACATGTGGGCAAAAGATTATGATTACATAATAAATATGAGCGAAGGACTGTTATTATATAATACATATGGGCAAAAGAACATGACTACATAATAAATATGGTCGAAGGAACATGATTACATAATAAATATGGTCGAAGAAACATGATTACATAATAAATATGGTCGAAGGAACATGATTACATAATAAATATGGTCGAAGAAACATGATTACATAATAAATATGGGCAAAGGACTAAGATTACATAATAAATATGTGCAAAGGACTATGATTACATGGGCAAAGGACTATGATTACAAAATAAATATGGGCAAATGATTATGATTACAAAATAAATATGGGCAAAGGATTATGATTACATAATAAATATGGGCAAAGGACTATGATTACATAATAAATATGTGCAAAGGATTGTGATTACATAATAGATATGTGCAAAGGATTATGATTACATAATAAATATGTGCAAAGGATTATGATTACAAAATAAATATGGGCAAAGGATTATGATTACATAATAAATATGTGCAAAGGATTATGATTACATAATAAATATGGGCAAAGGATTATGATTACATAATAAATATGGGCAAAGGACTATGATTACATAATAAATATGGGCAAAGGATTATGATTACATAATAGATATGTGCAAATGATTATGATTACATAATAAATATGTGCAAAGGACTAAGATTACATAATAAATATGTGCAAAGGATTATGATTACATAATAAATATGGGCAAAGGACTATGATTACATAATAAATATGTGCAAAGGACTATGATTACATAATAAACATGTGCAAAGGACTATGATTACATAATAAATGTGTGCAAAGGACTATGATTACATAATAAATATGTGCAAAGGACTATGATTACATAATAAATATGGGCAAAGGACTAAGATTACATAATAAATATGTGCAAAGGACTATGATTACATAATAAATATGGGCAAAGGGTTATGATTACATAATAAATATGTGCAAAGGATTATCATTACATAATAAATATGTACAAATGATTATGATTACATAATAAATATGTGCAAAGGACTATGATTACATAATAAATATGGGCAAAAAACTATGATTACATAATAAATATGGGCAAAGGACTATGATTACATAATAAATATGTGCAAAGGATTATGATTACATAATAAATATGGGCAAAGGACTATGATTACATAATAAATACGGGCAAAGGACTATGATTACATAATAAATATGGGCAAAGGACTATGATTACATAATAAATATGGGCAAAGGGTTATGATTACATAATAAATATGGGCAAAGAACTATGATTACATAATAAATATGTGCAAAGGATTATGATTACATAATAAATATGTACAAAGGATTATGATTACATAATAAATGTGTGCAAAGGACTATGATTACATAATAAATATGGGCAAAGAACTATGATTACATAATAAATATGGGCAAAGGACTATGATTACATAATAAATATGGGCAAAGGACTATGATTACATAATAAATATAGGCAAAGAACTACGATTACATAATAAATATGTGCAAAGGATTATGATTACATAATAAGTATGAGCAAAGGACTATGATTACATAATAAATATGGGCAAAGGACTATGATTACATAATAAATATGGGCAAAGGACTATGATTACATAATAAATATGTGCAAAGGATTATGATTACAAAATAAATATGTGCAAAGGATTATGATTACATAATACAATATGTGCAAAGGATTATGATTACATAATAAATATGTGCAAAGGATTATGATTACATAATAAATATGTGCAAATGACTAAGATTACATAATACAATATGGGCAAAGAACTATGATTACATAATAAATATGGGCAAAGAACTATGATTACATAATAAATATAGGCAAAGAACTATGATTACATAATAAATATGTGCAAAGGATTATGATTACATAATAAATATGGGCAAAGGACTATGATTACATAATATATATGTGCAAAGGACTATGATTACATAATAAATATGGGCAAAGGACTAAGATTACATAATAAATATGGGCAAAGGACTATGATTACATAACAGATATGTGCAAAGGATTGTGATTAC